TCTTGTCCTAATGAGACACTTTAGCTTCTGAAAGCAACGTTGCCTGCTAACCATCAGGGTGGATGGATTATCATCTTAGCAATTGAGGAGGCCCATGCAGAGTCTCCAGTCCTGCTGTTTGTCACTTTCTTCCACATCCGTGGTTAATGGTGGAGCCATTTACCCCCCAACAGGCATAAATTCTTTCTCCCACAAGAGGATATTGGCTGGATATGACACTTATAGGACTAAAGGAGCAGCTGGCGATGTCAGATTCAAGGCAAGTGTGTCGTGTTGGCCACCCCATTTAGCAGATGGCCAGGACTTGATAGATTGAAGATTATTAGGATCCCAGTCAAGGGCCAAATGGCACAGTGGACAGGAAGAGTGAATGGCAGCATGCATTTGAGCACAGGCATGTGCAGTCTGATGGGGCCTCCCTGCCTCTGTGTCATTTCTGCTTCAAGTAGGAATAAGTGCAGACCCTCCCGCAGAGTGTGGATTTATAGGCACATTTCTAGACATCCCTGAGAATTTGGCTGCTAATTTCTAGTTGACTGAATCCTGAAGGTGGCTGTTATTTGGAAAGAAAATTTTACGAAGTTTCGATTTCATCACTTTTTTTTATGAATTTGGCCCTTTGCCCAAATCTACATGTCATGGTTTCCAGTATTGTTAACTTCTCTGTGTTTTACTTATCTCTAGAGAAAACTTAAAGGCTTTAATTCAGAGCCTTCTGTTGCATTTGTATGCCATCCTTTTGAAGAGACTAATGCCGTGAAAGCCGCCCTACAGTGGAAGTTTCAGGAGCTGAGTTTTGCAATGAGAGCACATGCTCTGCAGATTAAGGGGGTGTCCGTATCTCTTTGTCCATTTCAAACTCATTTATGCGATTGCTGCCTCCTCAGGTTTACTGCATAATTCCTTTGATCTTAAAGTGGAAGGAAGCAAATTTCAAGAGCCAGGAAAACTCCTCATGTAGCTTTAAAAGGAGCAGCATATGATGAAATTGAGTGGATGTCAAATAAAACGTAAATTTGGATCTTTTGAAATTTAAACTCAAGTAGGTATTTCTTCTAGAGCGAAGCACATTGAGAAGCTCAGGGATAAAATTGCTGTTGTTTGACATTCATTTAAATTTTAGTATTTGGGTCAAGTTGTTGCCCAATAATATGCATTATTAAATGTTGCCTTTGTACTCAGCACTATACTCCAAGCTATTACATGTCTGTTCCTCACAATGACATTATGAGATTGTAGCCCCATTTTACAAATGAGGACGCTGAGACTCTTAAGATTCATTCTTGATTCAGATTCTCTTTCTGCTCTACACCATGGCTTCCTCTACCCTAGGTGGGACCAGAACATAAACACAGTTTACTAAAGGAGCGTTCTTCCCCATAGGTATATTTCATAACTACCCAAATTGCTTAGCTAATGTCCATGAGCTCATTTTAGTGACAAATTATTGGAAACAGTAAGTGGAGGGGATTATTTCAATTAGGTTGATGACTTAACTGTAACAAAGTCACTTATTAGCATGCTTTTTGGATTCTTAAATCCAAGTTTTAGAACCAGGCATAAACAAGAGAGTGACCAGCCAATAATCTCCATTTTTCTCTCCCTTCTCATTCATCTTCTTGACCCCAGCAAAATAAACCAACAGTGGAGCCTGTGGAAGGTAATGGGCATGGTAGAAGCTTTTCATTTATGGGATTGCTTAGACTCTGTTGTCCCTTGAGCTGGAATGAGTCTGAGCCTGAGTAATCATAGAGATAATCTAGTCAGAAGCAACCAGAAACTGAACCTGGATTGGTTTGCCTTTTGCACTGACTACAAATGTTATCGGTGGGTATAAGTCCTGGAGGATTAGAAAAAAACATTCTTAGAATTTCACATTGTCAGATTAAGACTAAATGCATCATTGAGCCTTCCTGGTGCCCTGCAGGTTAGGTCTCAGCACTCTGACCACTGCAACCTGACCAGGTAGCTAAACCACATATGGCACAGCAGACCTCTCCTGTCTTGCCTGCTGTGTATTTCATTAGATCCACCTGTTCTCACTCTGTCTCTGGTAAATCCTCTCACACTCACACCTCTAGACTACACCCCAGTTCTTCTATACAAGAAAAAAGATTGCATTAAAGGGTCCCCCTGATTTGGAAACATCCTCTGCAGTTAGGATAGAAAATCAGGTATCTCTGAAATGTTGACATAGCAGAGGAGGGGTCACACAGTGGGGGAGAAGCTTATGAGTTGATCAAGTTGACAGCAAATACAGTGCCTTGTGATGTGGTATCTCATTGGGACAACTTTAAGACAAATTGTAAACGAAGTGTATCAGTCATAAAAATTACTGAGATCATAACCTGTCCCTCATCCTCTAGCTCTATATACACTCATAAAAACTCTAGCAGCTAATTTTTTTTTAACAAATGACCCCACTTAGTTAAAACAGCAATCATTTTTTGTTTTAATTCTAAGAGTGACTGATTGGTTCTTCTGGTCAGGCCCAGTTCACCTACCCTCTACAGATTGCAAGTTGTTCAGCAGAGGTTGTGTGGTTTGACTGGATCACTCACCTGGCTTATGGTGGCAGGTTGCTGCTGGGTCTAGAACAACCTTAACTTGGATTGTCTATGTCTACTCCATTTGGTCTCTCATCCCACAGGAGACTAACCTGAGATTCTTTCTTGGTCTCAGGATTTCAAAGAGTAACAGAGGAAAGTAAACTTCTGCATTCAATCCTATATATAAGCCTCTCCCTACCCCATGGTCTGTAATGTCCCACTGGCCAAAGTAAGCCATCATGTGGTCAAGCCAGCTTAGAATATTGGAAATGTTGAGATACTCTTGTTGGGAGGAGTGACAAAGTCAAATCGCAAAGGTACGTGTTTCAGGGATGGCAAGAGTTTGTGGCTCTTTTGCCATTTCCCGCAGATACTGAGTAACTACAGGCAATTGAACTGTCCTGAATGTCTCTTTCAGACTGAATCTGGAGAAGGAAGGAGACCATCTTTTTGTCTGTAACTTCCAGTTTGATAGAGAATATTTCTCTGATCTCTCATTCTATCACTCCTTGAAATTTGGCCAGATTTACTGATAGACTCTCTTATCTTGCATTTTTAAATTATAATACTACTCATAACCATGTTTTTAAATTTTGATCAGTTATATGCATTGGTGCAAATAAGATTTTTTCATTTTGATGTATTTTATTTATGTCTGCCTTTCAAGAATATTTTGTGCTTCAATTAGCATGTTAAACACTTGACTGGAGCTTCCTATTGGGCAATTTTGAGATACACCCATGCTAACTCCCAGCATTCCATCTTTGTGAGTGGTAAACTGAATTCCCAGTTCTGTACTTAAACACATAGCTGTCGTGTTTACAACGTAATATCAAATTCTAATTATTTTCTTAGTCTATAATCATAACACCCTGTGTTTGAACTTAGTCACAATTCAGGGCTCCTGACAATATATATTCACTGTTTTCTCAGAACATCTACCATGCATTCCTGAGTCTCAACTTCAGCACCATTGGGCCAGGTAGTGTTTTGCTGGGGGAACTATTCTGAGCATTTTGGGCTGTTTAGCCTCTATTCACTTGATGCCTCTATCCACTTGATGCCACCCCCTACACCCCTCCTTATAACAACCAAACATGTTTCAGGATATGGTGAAATGTCTTGGGTATGGAGGGGGTGTGGGGGGAGGAGCATAGGTTGGGGGAAAATCACTTACAATTGAGAACCTGTTCTAACTTGGTGACACAGAAGCAGAAGAGACCAAGAAGTTTGTTAAGTGTGGGTTTTTATCAGAGTGTAAACTAGGAACAGTAACCCAAAAGAGAAAATCTGTAAGGAGGGAAGAAGTGTGGAAATTTTTCTGTTAGTTTAAAACTGAACCTAAGATAGCCCTGGATTCATCTGGATTAACTAGGAAACATCAAGCTGTGTCTTGCTACACTTTGGAACATACATCAATATGTCAAGTTCATTATGGTAGAAGTGGATTAAAGGGAAATACCATGCCTGAAAAAAACTTCATGAGCTATGTTGATTGCAGGCAATGGATTTGGAAAAAGTCCTTATTTGGGAAAAGTTAATCCTACATACACATAGAGAAAATTGTACCATGACCCATCTGCTATTCGTCACCTAAGGTGGTAAAAGAATAAGGGCTAGGCTTGCTGCTTTTATACCCCACTTTTATACCTCACTTCCCCTGCTGTCTGCTCCTAGATTATCTTGAAGCAAATTCAGAAATGATTTTATTTGTAACTATTTCAATATGTGTCTAAAATAAACTACCTAAAACCCAATGTTATAGTATGCTGGTAGAATTTTTTTAATCTTCTAGAAAAGGGCAAAAATGAGAAGTTAATGCTAAGTAAAAGTTAAGGGAAAGATTGAGTGGGGGTCAAGATCAATGAAACTTAACTCTGGGTAGAATTCAAACTCCAGAAGGAAATGAAGGTGGGAGACACTGTCCCTTCAAGAAATTTTCCTCTTCTTTCCTTTTCTGCTTTGAGTGACTCGGAAATGCTCCTCGTAGTATGAGGGCACTGGGCTCATTAGAAAGGAGTGCAGATTGGCAGGTAACAGAGACACTTTCTAAAAAGAAGAGAGGAAAATACAATCACAAGGTCTTGAAATATTCCCTCTGTGATAGATTGCTGTCTGATGACTTTCAGTGACTTTTTAGCTGATCAGGGCCTACTTTTAATAAAACAAAGCAAGAGGGAAGTTTTGCAGTTGCTTTTTAAGATTATGCTAGGACTGTGATGTTTCTCTCCTGTTCTAATGTATTCTGAGAAGTTTCTTTCTTTTGATTTAGACTTCCTGACTTGATTTTATTATGTCATAAATCTCCTGTGTTATCATGAGAGCCATGTGAGACTTAAGCAGCTTGCTAGATAACATCTATCCCCCCCGCTTCTCTTTAGAAGATTAAACTGAGACTGTTGTGTCTGATGCCAGAATAGATTTAACCAATCATGTTTCCTTTACATGTAGGTCAGTCCAAGGGACAATTCTGCACTGGATCCTATTATCCATGGGTTGAAGGGCGTCGTACATCATGGTAAGTAAGCCACGTACATTTCCCTTTGCTGGGATGTGGAGGGCTAAGATCTCCACCTAAAGGAATGGGGTTATCTTGCACAGGACAGAAGGTGACACCTATTCCTCATCCTCTGATGTTGAAGGGCATTAGAGCCATTAGTTGATGGGTAAAGAGCTTGTCCATTTATTACCTGCAAATGAATCTGGGTTAACAGTTAGCAATTTGTTTCTCTTCAGGTACCACTGTGAATGCATAAGTTATAAATCAAAATGCCCTAGGATATACGATTCATATGCATTGAACCTGCCATTTATGCCATATCTTTACTAAAAATATTCTCCTTTCAAGTATCTTTTCGTTTATAAAAGTTCTTGATTTGCCTCTCAGATTTAGGGAAGAAATTTAAGTAGCTGTGACAAGTCATTAAACTTTGCCACATGTGAGCAAGCATCATCAGCTGCTAGGATGGAAAAAGCTAGGTCGTTGTTCTGTGTGGCAGACGGCTTACCCTCAGGCATGAAACTGGGAGAGAAAGTAAGATAAATGGGTTCTGTCTTTCCCTACTGGTTTTTATTGGAGGAATTTCCCTGCAACTTTATTATTGCCGATGCATCATTACCTATGATATCAGGATCTTTTAATTTCAGAAGTACGCTTGTCCCAGGGAGGTGTGGAGTCTAAATGTAATGTAATGATTTGCAAAGTTTTAATAATCTAATTAGAATTCTGAAGACATTGACAGAAATAGCATTAGTAACCGTAATAAATCTCCCCTTCATCTCCAAGACTGTGATAAAATGTCTTCACACCTTTCTTGGAGGATCAGCTTTCGACGTTAGCCAACTCTGCAGAGCTTTCTCTCAGGGAAAATGCAAGCAGTTGTCAGTGTTCATTTGCAGCAAGTAGGTTTTCAAATTAATTGTTCTGCTCTTAGAACTGCTCGATCATGCAGCAGGTAACAGCAACAAACCTAGTGAAAGTAGGAAAACAGGGTGACTGAAAGTACCCCATAGAGATGTTCATTATAGAAGCTTTCCATTGCTTCTTCTCAGTTCTCAGTTTCACTTTGTGTCTCCAAAGTAACCGCACACTTTGCTGAAAGAAACCCATATAGAACAAAACACCTTGCCCAAATTGAGTCTGTCTGTGCATATGTGTTTTGATGTTTGGAACAAACGTGATGATTTGGGTTGAGGGGGGCAGATATAGTAGTTTGCATTATACTGTGGGCAGCCTCTGGATGGCAAAGAAAGCTGGCATTGTGGACAAAGTGTTGTGTGTTCTGAACTTCTTTCCCAGAAGATTCCCTTGAACACTCAGTTGATTAAACTCCTTGAAATTCCAGTCCATCGTGTAGATATCGGTTAAGACAAATGTGGCCCATCCTCCTCCAGACTGCCAGAGTGATGCACCTCCTGACATTTGCCTTTGCTGTTTCTGTTTCCTCTGTCAGGAAATTCTTCCTGTAGTTCATAGCCAGGGTGTTTCCCACTTATTATTTCAAGTCTCAGTTCAGATCTTGCCTCCTTAGAAAATCCTTTCTTAATTATTATGTCAAATTATCCACCCTTTCCCCGTTACCATCACTCCCTGTCATATCATTCTAGGTTTCTTTCTTCGAACCACGTAATAGTAGCTGAAATCACTTTGTTTAGTCATGTATCATCTACTGAAGTGTAAGCTTCTTGACAGTAAGAAGCCATGTGAGTATAGCAAATAGTAGATGCTCAATAAATATTACCCAGATGAGAAATCAGAAACTCAAATAAGTGAAAATATCAAAATACAAAATTGCAAGAAGGGAAGGCAGAACTATAATGGTCACTCGGGTTTTGCTTTGATTGGGAAGAGAAAGGAATAGGATAATGTCTTGGAACCAAGATTTTGCTCTCAGTTCTCAGGCTATTGCTGACTCTATTTTGATAATTCTCCTCACTTTTGTCATTCTTCCAAAGGAGAATGCACATTTGAAATAGCTAAGAAATTTTTGTTGGAATTAGAAGCATTTTCAGGGGAAAGTCCTGTGAGGGATTTAAATGATTATTAATTGGATGGGACATAAATAATCATGTCCTTCACAGAGTCTCAGACTTAGGAACTGTAGAGATACGTAAAAAGAAAAAAAAAATCAATATGGATTTCTGTTACAGTTCAGAATTGACTTTTATTTCTTCAGCTCTGGGACTCATATCTTAGAATATTAATTTCTGATTAAATGGATGATTTTTACTGGGATGAATCTTCTCTGTTCCTCCAGCGGAAATGACAATGAGTAATTTGGTCACAGCAGCCAATCATACTTGGCACTTGGACATTAGAGTAACACCAAAATGGAATTATTAGCAATTATTAGTGTTGGAGAGATTTTTGTCAGGGAGGGCTACCTAGGAGGATAAAGAAGAGAGGAAACAGGAGTAGGTGGGGAGAGTTTTGGGACCACGGTGTAGTTCTGACATCCCAGAAGGGGAAGGGGGAAGCTCAGAGGACTGGGTGAAGGCAGGATAAAAAATCTTAGCCAGGCCATCAGAGAACACCAGAGCCAAGACTGCCCTGAACAGCGTACTATATTGGGAAGGAATTCCTGGGCTGCCCACCATGCCGCCTGCATGGAGCTGCCCAGTCAGTGGCTTCCAGGTGGATGAACATCATGGTAAGCTCCAAAGGTGCTGCAGCTGCAGGCTGTCAGCAAACAGCAATCCTCAGAGAGATGGTATTTGGTAGGAAGATCTTAAGGTGCAGTCCCATGACAGACACAGAAGGTCGCATCTACCTTTCAAAGAAATCTTACTAATCATACTCTGGAAAGCTTTTCTACTTGATCCTCTAACTCTACAATGCTCAGAGGTTTCTTACAAGCAGTGCTTGTGCCTTTGGTGCATAGTTATCACATGCCTAATTTATGTACAATGTGAAGCTAGACACAAACCAGCTCATACTGAGTTTACAAACTCTTGGAAGAGATGTGATTAAGCATGTAATTATATTAAAGAGGGAGAGCAGCCGATTGAACGCAAACATGGGGATCTAGAAAAGGTTTCTCAGACAAAATGAGCATTAAGACCTCAAGAATCATAGAGATTGTCCAGGCAGAAAAGGGAGCTTAGGGTTTCAGTCAGGACCAATGTAAATGAAGGTGTCTGGGGGTGAGGGAAGAGAGGCATGTTTGAGTCTCTGAACTCTGTGACATTGCTTCTGCAATGATGGGGGGATACTTGGAAATCTCTTGGTGATATAAAGTGCTATTCTTGTATCTTCATTGTTCTCTGTAAAATGTGATTTTGTACAAACTCAAGAGCCATGAAGAAATATAGAGAGGAGAGAGTTGCCGTTTATTCTTGTCCCATTTATCCAAAAATAGACGATAGATGAAAGCACCAAAATGTCTCTAATTAAGCAATTTTATTTCCATGACCACCAATATGCACCAGAGAGGAAAGATTTAGGGAGAAATTATGAATTTTATTTGCACCTGCATGGATCAGTCATTGATAGTGCTTTTTGTATACAAGAACCAGGGCTTGTGAGTGGCGATTCCAGATAGAAATATTGATTCCACAGAATTAATCTCATCCTAATTTCTCTTAAAATCCATTTTAAAAAGAAGCTATTATGTGAATTGGTATAGAAAGGTAGCCTTCAATTTATAAATACTATTGATCAGGGCTAATTTGTTATATGTCATTTATTTTTTTTTTTAAAGTTCTTGGATTTCTACCTTTATTCATTTTCATAGTACCCACCCAAGAATATTCAGTAAGCTATTTGCATACTTGTTCTAGAGTACTGTCAAAAAAGGCATTGGAACACTAACCACTCTCCCGCATCAATTATCTAAAAAAGACAAATTTTTTTCATTTTGACAGGAAACTTGATAGGAGCAGTTGTTGAGCTTTATCTGTGTGTCCCTCTTTTTCCCACCTCCTGCCTTTCTTCACCTCCCTCTTATACTACCTTTAGTAAAGAGGAAGTTTTCTTTTCTTTTTTTTTAATGTATAATTTTTTGTCTTTTTTATTTTTTTAGATTTATTTATTTATTTACACAAGCACTGGGTACAGTCAGAAGCGCGGGAGGGTGAGAGAATTCACCAGAGCCAGAGCGGGAAACAGAGCAGGCAGACTGATGAAGTACACTGCTGAGGGCAGAAGCGGGCGGCAGGAGAGGTCTGCGCACCATGTGGGACCCTCACCCCGGATCAAACCAGCGCTGCAGAGGCTGCGGGCCACTTCGCAACACAGTGCTCAACCTCTGCACCACGGAGGAGGCCCAGGAAGTTTTCTTTCTCTTGCAGATGATATGTGAGGGGGACACTTCTAAACTGGCCCAGATACAGCAGAATCTCTCACCTGGCAGACCCGGAGCCTCTTCTCCCTGTTCTTCCCCCACCCTAACCCTGGGCTCTTCCAAAAAAGCTATCACTGAAAGTATAGATAAATGATCAGTTGAGGACACCTCCACAATCGAGGCTCTTGCAAGCTTTTCTTGTTTACACCCAACAATGGAAGTTGGGCAGTGACACAAAACTTCCTTGCAGAATAGCTTCCCCAGCTGACTACTTTATTCACTGGGCACATTTTAAGGGTGTGTTTCATCCATTTTTGCCCCCGCCATGGGATACTCATCATCCATGCAGCAAATAATAGACAGTGTCCCAAAATATCAAGAATCAATGCAGACCTCTAACTGAAAGGGAAGAAATCAAGTACCTTTGTAAGTATGTGCTAAGCAACTGACCCCTAAACATTTCCATGGGGTGGGTGGTAAAAGCTGATGAATCTGCATGTCCAGCATGTCCATGTCCCACTGGCTAGGATTGAATTTTCCAAAACAAGAATAATCTGTAAAAGACTCCGGACCTGGGACAATATGAATTCTCTCTAAAGCAATGGTAAACTTGTCTTCTATAACTGCATTGGCATCACAGGCCACAGATTCAGTAGCTTAAGAAACCAGCCCCAGGGCATAGCTCTGCCAGCACTCCATGACACTGTTGGGGGAACACCAGTGGTGCAACTTCTTC